GTGTGCAACTCCTTTTCTTGTTAGACCGAGGTGTCTAATTGTATAATGAACAGTTCCTTTTCTTTTTCATATCCTATGTGCAAAGGCTAGGTCTTGTGGCCTGGTAAAAAAAAATGGTCATGGTCTTAGCAATAAGACTCAGCCCAAGAGGCATTGTGCAGAAAAAAGTTGGTGGTGCCATGGCCTAGTGTAATTTCAGAACACCCTCATGGCCAGTATAGTTTCATGACTCTTGATAGGTTCATTTGATGGCATAGCAGAAAATGTCATGTTATGCGTATGTTATATATGTTGCACATAATGAAGGTCAGACTTACCAGATTCCTCCTTGACGATTTTCACTGCAGCCAGCTCCCCGTTTACTTTGTTCCTGGCCTGCAAAAACATATATACAAACATGTTCATCATATACTATAGACAAGAGTTAAATATAATAGTAACTTTATTACCAGATTTTTTAATGTACTGAGATAGGGACCTTATATTGAAAGCTCCTTGAGGGCAGGGACTGATGTGAATGCGCAGTATGTAAGGCTCTGCATAAATTGTTAGTGCTATGTAAAAACCTGTAATAATGTACTGTTGTTTAAACCAGTTATATTACTATGTTCGTGCTCTTTTTGATAGCTAGCTTGTGATAAAAATAAAGTCAATCATTATAATACACTAAGAAATAAGGAAAAAATACACTATGCCACAAAATAGAAAAAAAAAACTTAAGAAGCCATTCAATGCCAATTGTGTTCCAAAAAACACAGTAACTGGTTCCTGCCAGCAACCCGTATATTAACATTTACCAGTACAATGCTGAGAATATTTTAGATTACATTTCCTATTCACTGTGTGTGCTTCTGGTTGTGAGACCACACTGTTAGCTCCTAGTCTCTACTAATGGCTGATAACCAAACGGGGTGGCTCCCTATCATGTGATCGCCCTATTAGCTTTTGCAGGATGCTCAAATGAGATGTTAGTAAACAAACCTTGTGGGCTTCACAGGTCAGTATACTTCCCTGTGCACAGGGAAATAAATATATGTTTTAGATCAGCATATCATTTTAAAGAAAATAAAACGTTTTTACAACTTTTTTAATGTTTTAAAATGTTTACTCTTTTTTTTTGTTTTGTTACATTTGACAGCCTATAGTAATAAATCTGGACAGAGCATTTATTAAAACATTGTACCAAAAAAAAGCCTAAGAGCCAGTGTTGATAGGCATTTGTTCTCTGCAGGACAGCTTCTCTCCCTCCCCATACATGTCTATGAGAATGCAAAAGCAGCCGAGAAAGGCCAAATGCAGCTCAACTGCACCAGCAATGAATTCTAAATGATCTCATAAGCATCTTTAATTAATGTCAAAAGCAGGCTGCATTTGCCAGTTGATGTCTGTCCACACTGACTTGACGTATTGTTAAGCTAATGGATGCATATTAATGCTGCTAAATTTGGTCTGCCCCTCCATGCAGTAATGAATTCTGTGAAAGGTTTAAACTCCCTAAACCACCCCCTGACGTCAATGGTGATATTTTGGTAATTTAGGCAAAGCAAAAATTGTCAATTTTCCTTTTGCCTACTCACCACAGTATGGGGTATATGCATATTATAGTGAAGACTGATTGGATTCACTGACATTTGGGGAGAGCTGGGAATAGTTAGGAAGAGCTCCTACCCCAGCTACGGCATCTGTATGTCTTTGACTATAATTCTGCCGGTAGCTGCTCTATAAACTGCATAATACTGCATATTATAATGAAGACTGATTGGATTCACTGACATTTGGCCAACTATAGTTAGGAAGAGCTCCTACCCCAGCTATGGCATCTGTAAGTCTTTGACTATAATTCTGCCGGTAGCTACTCTATAAACTGCGCAGGGAAAAGATGTTTTCTTCTTCTGTGGGGGCAAGACTGAAGCAAGATGTGCAGTATGATGGAAAACCTCTATTAATGTTACTTTTTAATAGGCACTTCCTCCCTTGCACCATTAAGAACCTGTGTTCTATTTCCAGAGCCGGATTAAGGGCAACTGATGCCCTAAGCACAGCCCAACAATGGTGCCTCCCTCAGCCACTCCACTGCTTAACTGACAAGATATTAAAACTTAGTGGGTGGGAATTAACAAAGAGTGGTGCAGGCATAAAGCCTGTGCAACTCTTCTAAATGGAGAAAACAGAGCAGATCCTGCTCCTATTTAACAAGGTGGGAGCAAGTACCTTGTTAAATAAAAGAGATCTGCTCCGTTTTCCATGCCATGTCTGCACCAGAGCAGGAGACAGTTCACATGCTGTATGTTAGATCCAATCTGGTGTATATGTCCAATTCAATATAGACAATTGTTGCAATCCCTTTGTTAATTGGGTGCAGAACCTGTGCCAGTTTCTATTGCATTGTGAAATCGAAACTGTTGCGAGTGGTACAGATAGTATGAGTATATCTTTTATATTTTACACACTAGACCAAAATGAGCACTTAACCCTTGCAGATAGCCCCACTGGGGGTTAATTTTAATTTCGCCCCAGGTTCTTCTTTAATGGTCCATATAACTATGGGCATGGCAGGGGTGTGTCCATTGTCTAAATAAATGGCACTATAGTGTATCCCTCTTTCTCATCTCAGAAAGTTGGGAGGTATGGTTTACACAAGTAGCAGTGTAAATCTACGTACAGCTGCCTACAGCCATTCATGACCTTGGGTGACTGTACTTGGCAGCTGTGTATCCAAGGTGTGGAAATACACCAGAAATGTACATTATATGGCCTCATGAGCCTGGGTGCATTAGGCCTTAAGCATACCTCCCAACTTTCTAAGATGAGAAGGATGGACACCTTCCAGCAATATGTATGGGCCACAACAAATAAAGTGGTGGTCTCATGGGATTGTCACCCTCAGTTAACATATTTTTATATAAGTTAAAAAATACTGTGAATTAGATTACATATATTGGCTCAAGCTATTTGGACTGCTCTCTGGTTCTCTTTTCTTTTTTCTTTCAGGTCTGAAATAATATGAATGGCCAAGCAGAAAACGTACTGTGAAGTGACTATATTTGCACGGATTCAGCTATCGCTAGGCAGATTTTCTCTTCTAGCAACCACCGAACTGGTGATTCAAATTTTGGAGGGAAATGAGCTGTGCAATCGTGTGTGTCTGTTCCCCTTTATATACTTGGTCAGTGGGGCAACTGTCACCTTAGGATTCTATCAGCTACATCTGGACACAGCTTTTTCCCGCCCTCCTTCCCTTTATGTCTTGTTGTCGCCGTAACCTTAATGGGGTAATGTCACCCATTTGGTGGGAGGACAGTAGACATGTAAATTTAGTTTAGTTCCAAATGGATATTCGTACAAATTTTGTTTGTAACCCTTATCACACTAAGTGGAGTGGCTATGAAAAGTTTGTGTTGCTAGCACTGTAAACAGTCTGGCTGATTTGTAGTCTGGTATCATTTGGTTGTTCTAGGTGTTCTGTTATTGATTGCAGCTACCTGTGAGTGGGGTGGACACCTGTCAAAAAGTGGAGCAACCAATAGGGCAACGTCAGCAGTGTCTATGCCTCACCAGCCAATCACTAGGAGTTTCATTTGCATGCTGTGGGAGTGCATATCTACTCAGGGATTGCCATGTGCTCAGGGCAGTCTGCTCCCGGGCTTGGCCTGGGGGGCGGCATGTACAAGGTTGGAGAAGCTGACTAGGCCTCAAGCCTGGAGTAGGTCACATGTTGACCCAAGAGGGGTCTGAGAACCAGAGGAGCCCTATGACTGCCAGGGGATAACATGGACCTCAGGAAAAAGTCTGGTGTCTCTTCTAGGGAAGATCTCATGCTCAACCCTATTCAACTACTGTTCTACTGCACAGTGTCAGTTCCTGTTCTACTGAAGTATTCTCTGCACTGTGGAAGACTGAAGAAATTAGTGAATTTGGAGTCTGTATATTTTTGCCATGGGTGTCCCCTATACCCTCTCTTCCAGTTTTTGCTGTCCATTAATAAGGACTGAAAAAGTCCTTAAAGTGACTGGCACCCAATTTATTGATCACATCCCTTTACTGGCTAAGGACATACCCCTGAGAGTGAAATGTCAGCCCTCCCTACGCTTTGGGGGTCCATCTCAGGCCTGTGGGGTTCAGCGTGGCGCTACATATTAAATTCAGACATTCGGATGCATCCAAATGTTCGAATTTCAAAGGCATCCGGATGAGAACAAATCAGAATGCTCGTTTAACAAAAATTCGAATCCATCCGAATTTTGTTCAAAATGAAACTACATCACACATGTGACTGTTCTCTGGCCAATCAGATGGGTTTTTTTTTGGCTGTTGGGAGTTGCAGTACATGCACAGTGTGACTTCCTTCAAAATTAAAATTCATATCTGAATATTGAAATCTGAATAATGAACTGAATCAAATTAAATAGAACCTTTTCATAGATATCCGTGCATCAGACACAAAAAGAGAGACAACTGTGGAGGAAAGAGGGACAGAGGGATTTGGTTCCAAATGAGGGATTGTTGGAAGGTATACTTAGAAGCACTGCTTTTTTCCCCCCAAATATATGAAGGCTCGAGGCCTCAATACCAAAGAGGATTGTGTTTCTAAACTTGTGCTATTGAAAACACTGTAAGGTAGAGCCTCTTGTTTTTCGATAAGCAGCTCTCCATTGCCGACACCTTCACGAAATGTGCGTCTGTTACCGGGATACATATTATAAAGTAAACCAGAACAAAGCCATTTCATTCAAAGGATTGCTTTCTTTGATCTATGCACAAGCACACATAGGCAGCTAGAGAATTTTATGATAAAGTCTACATTTTAAATGTCATATCCAGCGTGATATTAGCACTGGAACGAATGAAACCGCCCCCACACATAATCTAGAATCAATCAATCTAGAATCTGCCCCCGGGGAAGCCCTTGTGTAGGCAGGTGTCTCCTGTGGGTTCTGAAAATTTTGCAGAATCGAGTTCACTTGAGCACATCTTTTGTGAAGACTAAACAAAGCAAAGAAGCAGTCTAGAGCAGATGTTATCAAGGTACAGGGGGCCTCAACTGCAGCACCTCACATCACCAAATGGTCACATACAATGTTCAGTATATGTAATGCTACAGAACACTGTCTGTGGACATACCACAGGAGATGGTCTGTGATTGTGGGTATGCTACATGTGTGGTTGGAGACATGGTGCGGGACACTGACAGAGTCTGTAAGTATGTTACAAGAGACTGCTAGAGACTGATGTTGTATTGCAGTCTCTTTACAAATCAATGCTCCCACCACTGCCTGATGGGGTCCAGTAACTACCAAAGGGCACCAGGTCTGTAAAGCATCTGCAAGTTGTGTGATCAAGAACTAAATACAACGAAATAAGCCTATTAGAGTTAA